TCCAGAGTGCTCTCAGCCACAGCATGCCTTCTTGAGCCATCCTCCTTTAGGATGGGGCTGCTCGCACCGACCTTATGCCAGGAGGAAGACGGGACATGTGGCAACTGTCCTTATCCTCCCCCGATCCTCAGGCTGTCCTTTTGGTATTATGCATGGAGGGGGGTGAGACAGGCAGCGACTGAGAGCTCTCCGGAAGGCTCTCAGCCGCCACATGTCCTCCTTGAACTGTCCTACTATAGGAGGACTGTCCTTATGCCAGGAGGAAGGCGGGATGTGTGGCAACTGCCGTTATCCTCCCCGCGATCCTCAGGCTGCCCTCTTGGTATTATGCATAGAGGGGGGTGAGACAGGCAGCGACTGAGAGCTCTCCAGAGGGCTCTCAGCCGCAACATGTCCTCCTTGAACTGTCCTACTTTAGGACTGTCCTTATGCCAGGAGGAAGGCGGGACATGTGGCAACTGCCCTTATCCTCCCCCCTGATCCTCCTCCCCCGATCCTCTTGGGATGTAGTAGAGTGAGACAGGCATGGCTGAGAGTGCTCAGGAGGGTTCTCAGCTGTCGCATGCCTTCCTTGAACTGTCTTCTTTTAGGATGCGTCTGCTCGCACTGTCCTTTATGTCAGGAGAAAGGCGGGACATGTGCTGACTGTCTGATCCTCCCCCAATCCTTGGACTGCCCTCTTAGTATTACGTTGAGAAGAGGGTGAGACAGGCAGTGGCTGAGAGTACTCAGGAGGGCTCTCAGCTGCTGCATGCCTTCCTTGAGCTGTCCTCCTTTAGGATGGTGCTGCTCGGCCCATCCTTATGCCAGGAGGAAGGTGGAACATGTGGTAATTGCCCTTATCCTCCCCCCCCCCCAAGATCTTTGGGCTAAGAGGGCACTCTTAGTATTATGCCAGGAGGAGGGCGGGCAGGCAGTGGCTGAGAGTGCTCCGGAGGGCTCTCGACTGCTGTATGCCTTCCTTGAGCTGTCCTCGTTTATGATAGGGTTGCTCGCACTGCTCTTATGCGAGGAGGACAAGACACAAGGTAGCTGAGAGCACTCCAGAAGGCTCTCGGCTGCTATGTGCCTTCCTCCCGCATCTTTTTTGGCATAAAGACATAGTGGGCTGCCATGTCCTTCTGCCAAGAAGACAGGGAAAATTAGGAGGGCCTGAGGTAAGCACCCATGGGGATGCATCCAGTCCCCGGGCCTTAGTTCACCCAGTGCCTGCTATATATAGTATATTCCCTGTAAAAAAGCACTTGGCTCTTGGGGAATTTGGTTTCTGGTTAATTACTTTTATTTACTTATGAGTCAGTAATTACTATTACCATCATTTTTGGTCTGCTTTTTTTCTAGTATACTACTTGATCAAGTCTCAATAATTTTTTTTCAAAAAGCATCCAGCATTCTGGTTGTTTTTGAAATAAGAAAAAAAAAACCTTAAACCATTATACAACACCCTCCTCTCCCCCACAACCTTATTGTTGTGGATCTTAAAGAAAACGAAACAAGGGACAAGAAATGCGGATTTCCCCCTTCTTCCTTCCTCCTTCCGGTTTAGCATTTGGGTGTCTTGGGTGAGTGTTCAAAGATGCCTTGCTCTAACTTGTCTATGGAACATCTACATTAGCCTACTTGTTAGTAAAATTTTACAAAAATAGGAGTGCAGCAGCCTTTTTTTCTCTCTTAACAAATGTCGCATTCAGTGTCTTATTCTGGCTGTACCTAGAGTACCAAATTTATAAACGTAACAATTTAAAAAAATATTAATAAAACTTGTCAATATTATTAATGTTTTAAAAAAAGAATATATCCACACTATTATAGTTATGCTTGTAATATCATCTACTGTGTTGTACTTCGAGTTGCTGTTGCCGGCCTATTTGACCCATATTAAAAAAATTAAATTAAAAAATATCCTTCATAAGTCTCCTCCCCAGCAGAGGACCATATACATAACAGCCAAACATTAAACATGTGCAAATTGGAAATTGTCAGTTTTTCCCTACCAGTCACAGTGCAATGATGTTTTTATACATTATTATTTTTTTCAAATCTGTTTTCATCTATAATAAATTAAACTTCTCTTGCGTCTAGGGTGACAAACTTGTAGCACTGAGGTATTCAGAATAATAATTATTTTTTTTATTTAAAAAAGAAACCTTTGTTTCTCCCTAATTGGTTAATATAGGAAAGAGATGGATACAAGGTGAGAAGGATGCAAGCTTTCTACGGCCTGCCCCGTCTCCTAACCCACGGCCGGAGTCGACTGGCGCTCGGTCCAAGGGGCTGTGGGAGAAAGAGCGGGGCAAGTGCTGAAATGGATGGACAGTCAGGTGATGGGAAAGGAACATCTTCCAAAAAGTGTGCTTGAAACATTAAATACCCTTTTTGTCAAATATTAAAAGGCTCGCTTTTTCAGTTTTGGGAAAAGCAGTGTCCTTTAAAAGAACTTAAAAACCTAACCAGACGGTTAATGTCAAAAAAAGGCATGCACAGAGGTCTAGTTTAGGGCGCTTCCAGACAGCACTAAATCACGGGTTTTAAACCGGGGCAAAAAAAATCCCGGGACTCCGGAAGATGTCAATATACAGACCTGTTGGTCCCGGGATTTCTGCCTCCGTTGTTCAGATTTGATGCTTTGTTGTGAGTTTTAGAGGCTCCTAAGATGGCTGCCGCGGGACTTCCGCCAGAAACTTTGGCTTTTTAAAAAAGATGCGGATATGCAGTGTGGAAAATCACTGCAAAAGTCCCATTCTTTGTCCTGGCCAGAGAAACTGTGCCCGCCAGATGTTTCATGAAGTATCTACCACACAAACAAAGTTTACAGCAGTGGTTCTCAACCTGTGGGTCCCCAGATGTTTTGGTCTTCCGCTCCCAGAAATCCTAACTGCTAATGGGCCAAAACTACCAAAATGAAGTTCAACAGTGACAAATGCAAAGATACAGAATGGGGAACAATGCCTGGCTCGAGAGCAGTACGTGTGAAAAAGATCTTGGAGTTCTTGTGGACAACAAGTTAAACATGAGCCAACAATGTGATGTGGAGGCAAAAAAAGCCAATGGGATTTTGGCCTGCATCAATAGGAGCATAGTGTCTAGATCTAAGGAAGTAATGCTACCCCTCTATTCTGCTTTGGTTAGACCACACCTGGAATATTGTGTCCAATTCCGGGCACCACAATTCAAGAGAGATAATGACAAGCTGGAATGTGTCCAGAGGAGGGCGACTAAAATGATCAAGGGTCTGGAGAACAAGCCCTATGAGGAGCGGCTTAAAGAGCTGGGCATGTTTAGCCTGAAGAAGAGAAGGCTGAGAGGAGACATGATAGCCATGTATAAATATGTGAGGAGAAGTCACAGGGAAGAGGGATCAAGCTTGTTTTCTTGTGCCCTGGAGACTAGGACTTGGAACAATGGCTTCAAACTACAAGAAAGGAGATTCCACTGAACATGAGGAAGAACTTCCTGACTGTGAGAGCCGTTCAGCAGTGGAACTCTCTGCCGGAGTGTGGTGGAGGCTCCTTTTTTGGAGGCTTTTAAGCAGAGGCTGGATGGCATCTGTCAGGGGTGCTTTGAATGCGATTTTCCTGCTTCTTGGCAGGGCATTGGACTGGATGGCCCATGAGGTCTCTTCCAACTTTATGATTCTATGACCAAACTGGCTGGGATTTCTGGGAGTTGTAGGCACAAACATCTGGGGACCCATAGGTTGAGAACCACTGGTTTACAGAGTAGGACCACTTCTGCCCAAGTCAGCACTGCATAATCAATCAGGAACACACACTTTCAAGCCAGGAACAGAACTTTGTCATTATTGACACATTTTAGAGCCTGGGTGCCTGGCCATCTGTCCAGACAGATTTGGTTGTGGCCTCAAAGAACAGGGCACTGTTCCTGGGTTATACATGGCTGTTGCTGATTGCTCTTCTTGCAAAAAGATGCACAATATTGACTGGGCGGGGGTGGGGGGCATGACTTTGTTCTGGTTAAAAGACAACATGCCCTCCATAAAGTTTCACAAACAAGTTTTCATTTTCTACTCAACTGTCAGCTTCTTTTTAGGAACTGACCAATCAGGAACAAACATTTAAAACCCGGGAACAAACCTAGATTAAAAAATCCCGCGATTTCCAATTTGAAGACGTTGATATTCGACTCGAAACCACGATATTCCCACACCTGAAAACCTCAGGGTTTTTTTTGCCTTTTGTAGGAATGGTTTTGTAGCAATGGCCACCCTCCTGTTTGCTGCGGAAGCTCTGGGATAAAAGTACTGTCTGGATGGGCCCTCAGATGCTAGTATGACGCTAGTACAGTTATAAGGTCTGACACACCTACGGAGCAAGCAAAACCGGGTCGATCTAACTGCCATGGACCAGCTCCAGCAGTCGATCTCAAAAAGTTTAAAAACTTGACGGAAACTTTGCCGACAAGACGAACAAGAGCCTTAGGAGGTTGCTTTTGTGCCCCAGCACGTCTCCCACTCAGATCCAAGGACCCGAATGGTTGATCCTGGGCCCTTAAATCTTCGTCTTGAGTTTGGTACAGAAACTGCCTTAGTCTGCCTCCCATCACAAAAATATTACGCATTTCTCTCTCTCTCTCTCTTTAATAGTTTATATGTAAGTTAATGGAATTGTATTTACAGTATTTATTCCGTTTTTGAAGTCACAAAAAATCCTTATCGCCTCTATTTTTTGTTTTCCAAACAACAGAAAATGCACTTATAGAAAAAACAAAGGACCCCAAGAAATGTTGTGGTCCTCACCTTATTGCCGAAAATAGATATAATTAGGTTAACTAATAGAAAGAACTGCTAGAGATTCTGCTACTGAGCCAGCCTGCTATTCCCCATCCAGCATAAAATAGAATATTTCCATTCACTTGTCTTGCTTGCTCTACTTCTAGATTCAGTGTGTGCTAAATTCCACCTGAAAAAATGCCCCCCCTCGCAGCTCCCAGCTTCAAAATTGGTACCAGTCCACTGAAAAAAATCATGACACCATTTCAGCTTTGTTTACGCGACAAAAAAAGAAAGAAAAGGGGAAGGGAGATTAAAAAGCAAAGCAAAGAAATCCTTAATATATAAACAGTTATATTATGGTTAGGTTTCTCCTAAAACACACAAAGTAGCAGATCTACGTTACTAAGCCTATGTCAAAATACTACCAAAAATGTGATTAAAATAGAATTCAAAGGAGGGGGAAAACATCAAGAAAGAAAATAATAAAATGAAGAAAATGGATTAATATATATATACATTTTTGTTTTGTTTTCAAAAGCTGTTGTTCTATATAATACAGCACGTTCATGAGATGATAGAGATTTCGGCTGAATGCCACCTCCAGTTTGTGTGGGTTATTTTGGGGATAATGCGATGCTCGAAGTCTGATGACGTATCACTTCGACATGGAACCATTCAGAAACTTCTTCCCGTCTTGCCTGGACATCCAGATATACTCTACAGTGGAGAGAGGAAGATGGTGGGAATCAATAAAGGACAACATCATTACAACTCAGCCTTTGTATCTTCTTATGTCAGTGGTTCTCAACCTGTGGATGTTTTGGCCTACAACTCTCAGAAATCCCAGCAAGTTTACTAGCTGATTTTTGGAAGTTGAAGACCTAAACATCTGGGGACCCACAGGTTGAGAACCATTGCCTTACATTAGTGGTTCTCAACCTGGGGTCCCCAGATGTTTTTGGCCTACAACTCCCAGAAATCTCAGCCAGTTTACCAGCTGGTAGGATTTCTGGGAGTTGAAGACCAAAAACATCTGGGGAACCCAGTTTGAGAACCACTGCCTTACATGAAGCTGAGGCCTCTTAACCGTCAGAGGATATCTTCCTCATGGACTTCAAGGCCACTTTGTGTGGTGGAATCAGTCTTTGTCAAACCACAAAGGCTGCCCATAAACACATGCCATTCATACCCAAACCAGATTTAACAGGAGATTAATGGGAGAGGGCTGTTACATATTTTTCAGAGAATGCAACTGATTGGATGATGTGTTGTAAGCCTGGATTATTTCTGACAACATTTAATTCACAGGATTGCCCATAAAATAGCATGCAACATCAACTTTAGCAATTACGATATACATTCCATGCACTGATTTTTAATTCAGAATGCACGACAGATTAGATACAAATAGCAGCAAAATATAGCATTTTGTATATATCAGTAGTTCCCAACCTGTGGTGCATGGACCACCAGTGGTCTTTAAGAACTAAAATACGGTCTGCGGTCTCACTATTACTACACAGTTGCAACAAGAGTGACTGGTCTTGTGAAACCCTCTCATAATGCTGAGGGTTATTAAATATGGTTTTCTGTGGGCGAGCAGATGGTGACTACTGGGTGGCACATATTTTGTATCAGAAACTAGAGTTGATGTGGTCTATCCAATGCTATTTTCTGAATCAGCACCCCAAATAACCAAACCAAATCTAGCCTATTCCTGGTTAGGCCTATTCCTGGGGTTATTTGGAGTGCTGATTCAGAAAATTGGATAGACTATATCAGCTCTAGATTATGAAAATATGGTTTTCTGTGACCGACCAGATAGTGACTACTGGATGTCATATGTTCTGTATCAGAAACTTGATCTGATGTGGTCTTTCCAACACAATTTTCTGAATCAACACCCCAAATAACCAAATCGAATCAAAAACCAATTCATAAATCTTTTGGTACTAATGTTGGAGAGTGGTCCCTGGTCAAAGTGATCCCTGGCCAAAAAAAGGTTAGGGACCACTGATATATATAGTATTTAATGCAAATCTTTGTATTTATAGTTCTGTCTGTTCATAGATTGTGCTGAAGACTTGTTTGTTTTGTCAGCTAATATTTATAGCATGAAGTATGCAAAAGTGTCCCCTAATGGGATGAAAATTAACAGATCGGTTGAAGAGGAAGGAAACAGGTAGGGATCCATATTGAACCTTTTCTTGAGATTTATTTCTCTTTGTAATTTGTGGTACTTGATCTGTAGGTAGGAAGGGTACTCCCTGTGGTATGATATTTGGTGTGATACTTCAACTAGCATTTCATGCAATCAAACACTGTGTGTTTGGAAAGTGCTCTGTGGTGGATTGCCGTGAGTTTTCCGGGCTGCCTGGCCATGTTCCAGAAGCATTCTCTCCTGACGCTTCACCCCAGCTATGTTAGGCGTCCTCAGAGGTTGTGAGGGCTGTTGGAAACTAGGCAAGTGAGGTTAATACAGTGGGGAAAAACTAAAAATATTTAGTCAGATACCAATTGTTCAAGTTCTCCGACTTAAAGAGATGAGAGAAGCTTGTAATGGACATCCTAGGTAGACCTCAACTATGAGAGACAACATGAGAAAACGCATCTAGAAAATCACACTGTCTGATTTTTAACAAATTTATTTGCAAATTATGGTGGAAAATAAGTATTTGGTCCATAACAAAAGTTCATCTCAATACTTTGTTATATATCATTTATTGGCAATGACAGAAGTCAAACGTTTTGTGTAAGTCCTCACAAGGTTGGAACACGCTGTTGCTGGTCTGTTGGCCCATTCCTCCATGCAGATCTATCTCCTCAAGAGCAGTAATGTTTTGTAGCTGTTGCTGAGCAAGACAGACTTCCAACTCCTTCCAAAGATTTTCTATAGGGTTGAGATCTGGAGATTGGCTAGGCCACTCCAGGACCTTGAAATGCTTCTTATGAAGCCACTCCTTTGTTGCTTGGGATCATTGTCATGTTGAAAGACCCAGCCACATTTCATCTTCAGTGCCCTTGCTGATGGAATCATAGAATCATAGAATCAAAGAGTTGGAAGAGACCTCATGGGCCATCCAGTCCAACCCCCTGCCAAGAAGCAGGAATATTGCATTCAAATCACCCCTGACAGATGGCCATCCAGCCTCTGTTTAAAAGCTTCCAAAGAAGGAGCCTCCACCACACTCCAGGGCAGAGTTCCACTGCTGAACGGCTCTCACAGTCAGGAAGTTCTTCCTCATGTTCAGATGGAATCTCCTCTCTTGTAGTTTGAAGCCATTGTTCCTTGTCCTAGTCTCCAGGGAAGCAGAAAACAAGCTTGGACACATTCCAGCTGGACACATTCCAGCTTGTCAATATCTCTCTTGAATTGTGGTGCCCGGAACTGGACACAATATTCCAGATGTGGTCTAACCAAAGCAGAATAGAGGGGTAGCATGACTTCCCTAGATCTAGACACTATGCTCCTCTTGATGCAGGCCAAAATCCCATTGGCTTTTTTTGCCGCCACATCACATTGTTGGCTCATGCTTAACTTACTGTCCACGAGGACTCCAAGATCTTTTTCACACGTACTGCTCTCGAGCCAGGCATCGTCCCCCATTTTGTATCTTTGCATTTCGTTTTTCCTGCCACAGTGGAGTATCTTGCATTTGTCCCTGTTGAACTTCATTTTGTTAGTTTGAGGTTCTGGGTTTGAGCCTGCCACTTTTGGACTCTCGTTTGCTGAGACGTTCCAGCGAGTGTCTCTGTAGATCTTAGAAAACTATGTCTGGATTTAAGTCATTGACGTGCTGGCTGATACCCAAACAGGGGATGAGCTGGAGATGTCTCTGCCTTGGTCCTTTCACTATTGACTGCCACTTCCCGACGGATGTCAGGTGGTGCGATACCGGCTAGACAGTGTAATTTCTCCAGTGGTGTAGGGCGCAGACACCCGTGATAATGCGGCATGTCTCATTAAGAGCCACATCCACTGTTTTAGCATGGTGAGATGTGTTCCACACTGGGATGCATACTCAGCAGCAGAGTAGCACAACGCAAGGGCAAATGTCTTCACGGTATCTGGTTATGATCCCCAGGTTGTGCCAGTCAGCTTTCGTACGATATTGTTTCTAGCGCCCACTTTTTGCTTGATATTCAGGCAGTGCTTCTTGTAGGTAAGAGCACGGTCCAGAGTGACTCCCAGGTATTTGGGTGCGCTGCAATGCTCCAGTGGGATTCCTTCTCAGGTGATCTTCAGAGCTCGGGATGCTTCTCTGTTCTTGAGATGAAAGGCACATGTCTGTGTTTTAGATGGGTTGGAGATCAGCTGGTTTTCCCTGTAATAGGCAGTAAGAGCACATAGAGCTTCGGAGAGCTTCTGTTCTACCATCTCAAAGCTCCCTGCTTGAGCAGTAATGGCACGATTATCAGCATAGATGAAACTCTCTGTCCCTTCTGGCAGTGGCTGGTCATTTGTGTAGATGTTGAACATGGATGGAGCATATTAGATAATATGCAGTGTGGAGCATATTAGATAATATGCTGTGTCCAGGTTGGCTCATCAGGTGCTCTGCTACAAGGCCATTAAATGCTAATCAAGGTGGCCAATGGCAACATTCACACTTTGCTTGAGGCAAGAGTTCTTTCTCCCACCCTGGACATTATTCCACAAATATATAAACCTCACTTGCTTAGTTTCCAATAAACCTGACAACCTCTGAGGATGCATCAGGAGAAACATCAGGAGGGAATGCTTTTGGAACATAGCTATACAGCACGGAAAACTCGCAGTAACCCAGTGTTTATGGTCCTGAAAGTCTTCGACAACACATTGCTTTGTTGGCATTCGTGCAAATTTGCAGTTTTTTGCTCAGCCGTAATGAATTTCATTAAAAATTGACACAAATAGTAAAGATTTTTTTTTTTACAAAACTAGTTCAATGTCTCTTTCCAGTTTCCATCCCCTAAAAAATCTGCTTCTGTTGGGGGAAAGGTGCTTTCAGGGAGGGGAAGGGGAAGGGAAATGATCAAAAGACAGGAAGAAAAGGGAAAGAGTGGAACAAGAAATAGGGCAAGAAAGAAGGGACATAGTAAAGAATATAAATGCTATATACAGGAATACCTCCAAGTGAGATGGCAACCAACCCTGTGTAACGTTTCAATGGTATCCATTTGTAAAAGCCGTTGCAATCAAAGGCCCCTAAAATTGTACAATTGTTAGCGTCATCAGTGTGATACAAGGGAAAAGATTATGATTTTGTAATTTTTTTTTCTTGCATAAAGTTATTTTTCAAAATCACCAGGATGTGTGTTGTTAGCATGAATGTGGCCAAACCTGCAAACATCTCTCCAGGTTTAGTGCTAGAGGTATTTTTCCAGGACCGGGTCAATTTGGAATAGCATTTCCAAAGCTGTTTGTAGTAAAAACAGTTGGTCTGAAACCTATTACAAAGGCAGCCGCTTCTTGCAGAATGTTATTGGACTTGAAATTAAAGCGCCAGATATGTGCACGTCTACACAAAAATAATTTAAAAGGTCACATTAGTGCAAGGGAAAGCACAGCGCCAAGTGCCATGTTATTCTTTGCAAACCAGGCTACGGCAAAGGTCAACACCGCACACTTTTTTCAAGCACAACCCTCTCTTTTCCTTTAGGCAAAAACATACAAAATGGAAATGAGGAGCATTGTGCGTGTTAACAGATGGCAAGTTTCTACTGCTGTAATTCTTAACAGAATCATAATCTATATTTCGTTATATTGGCAATGCGATTGGCAGGTTACTCTGGCAGGTGTAAGAAGACTGGAATTGCACAAGAGTTCCATATAGCAGTTAATTAGTTTGTATTGTTTTTCCAACACTTTTGAAAAATTAGATAGGTATGGCAAATGTTACATCTTCCAAATTCCACTGAAAGCCATTGAGTTAAGTGGCCTTTACATAGTATTAGGCATTCATGCTAACACACACCATCAGAACACAGTAAAATCAAAGACAATACAACCTTGCATGCAACTTGTTAAGCATAATTTCAACACTCCCAAATTAGTAATTTGAACCCACATATTATATTATATTATTATTGACACTTGCTAAAAAGGCTGATCTTCCTTTTTATCTTCTACATAGTCTACTGTATCATTGCATAACAGATTAATGTATATTGTCCGAAACTTATTTACAACAATTTATTTACAACATTTGTATACCGCTTTTCTCACCCCGAAACTGTAGCTTTCTGGTGAGGAAATTACCTCACGAACAAAGTGGGAAGACTTTATTTCTAAAAGTATACATTATGGATTACTGTAATGCACTCTACGTGGGGCTGCCCTTGAAGACGGCTCGGAAATTTCAATTGGCCCAGAGGGCGGCAGCCAGGTTACCTACTGGGGCAGTCAACCCCCCTGTTTAAGGAGCTCCATTGGCTGCCGTTCATTTTCCGATCCCAATTCAAGGTGCAGGTTCTGACCTACAAAGCCCTGAACGGTTTGGGACCCGGCTACCTGCGTGACCGCAGTTCTGTGTATGAACCCACACGATCTCTTCACTTATCTAGGGAGGCCCTGCTCTCTCTCCCACCTCCCTCGCAGGCGCGATTGGTGGGACGAGGGAGAGGGCCTTCTCCAGTGTGCCTTCCCTGAATAAAGGAAACAATCCCCTGCAAATACTCTGAGAAGCACTTACCCGTTGGGTTGCTCTTTACTTTTGATTTAAAACCCTCCAAATAGATATATCCTCTGTTCATGTCCAGCATTTATTTTTAAAGTTTTAACTATTACATCTGGCCCAGCCATGGGTTTTTAAATTCTTGTGTGTTATTATCTACTTGTAAGTTATATTAATTGTATTGTTTATTTTGTTTATTGCTTGTAATTTTATTATTGCTTGTTGTTTTTGATGTGTTGTTGGGCTTGGCTTCATGTAAGCCGCTCCGATTCCCTTGGGGAGGTATAAATAAAGTATTATTATTATTATTATTATTATTATTATTATTATTATGGTACAAAACCAAAATTCCAACTGACAGTTTCTTTCCCTCATGCCTCCTATCCCTCAACTTGGCCCCTCCATTGCTCCCATTTCTATGGAAACCCTCTCCCTTTGTTTCAAATATACACAGGTCAGATCTAAGGCATGGTCTAATTTCCTGGCTTCACACAAAACCAGGAAATAAGGTCATGACATATATGTCTGAAAGAGCTACTGAGTGACGTTCAGAAAAAAATCCCAGGACCTCAATATTGAACTAAGGGGGCCCCATTTAGCATTGAGACATTCAGTTTAAGAAGCAGTGCATTACGAAATCAACTTAATCTGATAGTCCCCCACACTTCAGTTATTAGTATTTCCCTCAGAGCTGCTAAGAGGCAGACTGTCGAATTCCTTACTCCCAAAGACTATGCCCCTGTGAAGGAAATGAAATAGAAACAATAGAATACATTTATTGCAGTGCCACTATTACACAGTGCAACGTGGCCAACTTTTATATTCCATCCTGTCCCACATGACCAGCCGTCCACTGCAGATAACTGTTAGATATCTCTTAGACGCCAAGTGCCACAGGGTGACTCCCATAGTGGTAAAATTCATCGCAGTGGCAACAAGGCTGAGAAAGCAACTAACCTCCAATAGAGGTATTACGTGAAACTATGTAGATATATCTTTTTATTTTTATTTATTTATTATTTGAACTTATATGCCACCACTCCCCTGGGGCTCGGAGCGGCTTACAAGAATAGCTAAAATCTAACAAAATTTAAAAGCAATTTGAAACAATTTAAAAACAGCAATATCAAACATTAAAAGCCTGTCGAAACGGGTATGTCTGTCAGATGTTTGTTTTACACGCCTTTTATATGTCAATGTCTATTTTATAATGCAAAATCAATAAAATTTATTTTAAAAAAAGAAACAGGTATGTCTTACATGCCCTGCGGAAAGCTGATAAGTCCCGCGAGGCACGGACTTCAGGTGGCAGAGTATTCCAGAGTGATGGTGCCACTGCTGTGAAGGCTCTGCGCCTGGTTGCTGTTAGACGCAAGGTCTTGACACTGGGAATTTCCAATAGATCTTGGTCCTCAGAATGGAGGGATCTCTGGGGTTGGTAGGGGGTGAGGCGGTCCCTCAGGTACATCGCCCCAGACCATGCAAGGCCTTAAAGTGAGTACCATCACTTTGAAAGTGATCCGGTGCTCAATTGGTAACCAATGCAGCTGTAGTAAGATTGGTGTTATGTGGCATCTCATCGGAATTCCCGCAAGAAGCCGAGCAGCTGCATTTTGTACCAACTTGAGCTTCCGGATCACCGACAGAGGAAGGCCAATGTAGAGGGCGTTACAGTAGTCCAGTCTTGAGATGACAGTGGCCTGGATCACCGTAGCTAGGTCGTCCCTGGACAGGGAGGGGGCCAGCCGTCTAGCCTCCCGCAGATGAAAGAAGGCAGTTCTGCTAACGGCGGAGACCTGGGCCTCCATCGTCAGCAGAGGGTCCAAAAGGACTCCCAGACTGTTTACCAATGATGACGGGCGTAGTGCCTCGCCATCCAGGGTAGGCAGCTGGATGTCCCCACTGCCCGGTCGACCCAGCCATAGGATCTCCGTCTTTGCTGGATTCACCCTCAACCTGCTGGCACGCAGCCATCCAGTAACGGCCTCGAGGCACTGATGGAAACAATCGGGTACAGAGTCCGGTCGGCCTTCCATCTTCAGCACCAGCTGAGTGTCATCGGCGTACTGGTAACACTCAAGCCCAAAACCTCAAACCAGCTGAGCAAGTGGTCGCATATAGATATTAAATGGACTTCTCCTGAGATGGGAGAATTTATGATTGTTGGTTTTATTGATGGGTCTATGGACCATAATAAATGTTATTATATGATTACTTACGGCGATTCCGTGGCCAAAGCTGGAGCCTGGCTGGGGGCTGGCGGCGCTTATGTAGTTGCCCACACCGGAGTCCTGGCTGGCCGCCCCGTAGAGGTCTGCCACGGGGCCTGGGCTGTTTGCCCCTGGGAAGCCTCCAGGCCGGGCTGGGTTGGAGCCTGCCGGGGAAGCGGGTGCGCCAAAATTCGGTTGAGCACTGTAGCTATTCAAGACTGGTGTGCAGAGAATAAAGCTGAGTATGAGGCCACAAGCCAAGCATGCACAGTTATTACAAAGCCAGACACTAATTAAAAAAGAAAAGAAAAGAAAAAAGAGAACAGAACAGAAAGGAAACAGCCTAGGTCCAACTTCTAACATTTAACCAAGGCCATGCGAAAGAAGAGCAAGTACTCAATCATAGTCAGCCCATACTACTAAGAAGCTTGGAGCTCCAAATAGAGATATGTATAAAGAGAGAAGGGAAAAAAAATCATTCAACACACTACTGCAACCAGAGACTGTGGGTGCTCGGTTTCACCAAATTATCACAAAAAAATATGTATTTTCCAACATCCTGATTTGATGCTCATGCAGTAGTCAAACGAGTTTTCTAAGATCTGGGCACGTCGAGACAGCATTCACATCCCATGCAAACTACAAAGGAACTAGTTTTAGACTACACATTGTGTTAATATTGATATTAAATGTTGACAGCAAAGAAAGCAAATCATAGCTAGGAAAACTTGTCTTTTTGGATCCCCTGTAGATTTTCAGATTCAAAAATAAATACAGCCTGGCCCCTGACCCTTGGAGTTCGGAAAATAAGTGAAGGATTGGAGGTTTGAAATGTTTTTTTTCCTTTAAATTAAAACAACGAAACAAACAAATGATATGCAATGGAACATTCTATAGGTACAAGTGATAGTTGAGTCACTTTTAACTCCCCCCCCCCCCCCAAATGTAAAAATACAAGCGCCTGTCTTCTTTTCTCCCAAGGCTTATTCTGGTTAGGACCAGAATACATCACAAAAAGAACAGCTATAAGCAGAAATAATCCTGTAAGTGGATATACTATGAGCTTAATTATTTCCAAAGTCACATGGGATATATGTAGATATATAAAATATTTGATCAAGTAATAAAGGATCTACTTGCTACACATGGAAATACAGTAGAATCTCGCTTATCCGACATTCCGGGATATCCAATGCTGACGCCCCCTTTTTCCTCCAGCATTTCCCCTTCAATAAGAGCGCTCCCCAACTCTCTCTCCATTCCCAATAAGTGAAAAAGGCAAGACAAGGACGAGGAGGAGGGAGGAAAGGGGGAAAAGAGGAAGGACTGGAAGTAGAAGCGCCCTCCCTCCTTCCCTCCATGATTTCCACGCTCCTTTTCCGCATCCGGGCACTTCCTGCTGGGCCGCTTTAGCCGCGCCAGACGGGTAACAGTAATTATCTGACATTTCCGTTTATCCGACGTTCTGCCGGCCCATTTATGTTGGATAAGCAAGTCTCTACTGTAGGTTTGTCTTTTGGCTTGTTTGCTAGTAGTGAAAGAGGAAGGTGAAAGAGTCCCCCTGCCCTTCACCACTTTACGAAGGGAAACCCTACTGTTTTTTTCAGCTGATGTTTCCATGTCTCTTGCTTAATTGCTCTAACCAAAATGCTCTAAAGCACTCCCAACTCCCAACACAAACTCAGGTACTTGTGTTCTGGCAAGGCTTTTATTAAATAGACATGCCTGTCGCTAGAGACTCTGCTGTGCCTCGGAGATGTCCGACTTGAAATATTTGGGGAAAAAAACTGTTCACCAAAATGAATTATACTCGAGTATAAGCCGCGGCACCTAATTTTACCACTAAAAACCGGGAAAACTCATTTACTCGAGTATAAGCTGAGGGTGGGAAATGCAGCAGCTATGAGTAACTTTCAAAATGAGAATAGTTACCAATAAAATTAATAGTTACCAATATTTACATACAACTGTAATTTGAGATAAGACTGTCCAACTCTGATTAAATCATTATTCTAACCTTCTTCAATGTAAAT